TTGATAACTGGGACTCGCTACGCAGCTCAGACTCATAGTGATACACCTGTCTCAGATTCTCCAGGACTAGGATTTTAGGCGTGCATCACCACACCCATTTCAGGACTGGCACAGCGTGCCCAGGGTTTAGGGGCCTACACAGCATGCGGTACTGAGAATCAAACTTGGGACCTTGCGCTTGCCAGGCAGGCACTTACCCTGTCAAGTGATTGCTCCAGTCCTGGATACTCTAGTGTATGAGTAACTCTTCAAGTGGATATTTTACTGTCTACCTATATATATATTAGTTGCCTCAGAAGCCACCAGAGATCTCTTACATTCTTGTGTTTTTTTTTCCTTCAATCTTCATTTTAATGAATTTCCTTTGAAATATTGAAAACTATTGCTCTTCTCTCGACATCTCTAATATTGTGCACTTTCCTAATTCTCCTACCCAATATTGATTTTCCATTATATGTTCTGCATAAATGAGGATCTTTCCAAAATAGCCATCCTTAGCTCCTTTTTCTCGTTACTATCTTTGCATTTATTCCTTTATTTATTCATTTATCCAATAAACATTAAATAATGTCATGAATTAATCAAAAGTGTTATATATAGCATAATATAGGAAGTTTGGCCTACCTTGTAGTTATTTCTTTAAATTGCATCAGAATGAGGTCAAGGAGATAGCTCAGCAGCACACAAGGCCCTGAGTTCAATCCCCAATACTGCAATAAATAAAGTAAGTAAATTAGAAAATATGAGCTATATAACAGTGATTTTTTTGCAGAGATTTCTTTTTGTGTGCTTCATTATTCACAGGTGTTGAGTAGTCTGTTCATTCTAAAACTTGTATAGGACACTGCATGAAATTTAATTGAGAATTGTAGCAAATCATACTATCAAATGTACTCAAGCAAATGGTTACCTGCATTCATGGTTTATAAAAGAATGTTTTTGGGGGCCTGCCCCTTAGCTCAGTTCTTTAAGTGGCTGCTTCAACAAAGCAGTCAGGCTCAGGTTGCTGGGGTTGGATCCCCACAACTCAAGCCTGCCAAACCTGCTCTGAAGGCATTCGGAGCAAAAAAAAAAAAAAAAAAAAAGAATTTTTTGGGGGGGCGTATCTTTAGATACACCCTCCCCATCCTCATGGCTCACTCTACCAAGCCCCAGTAGTATTTTTTAAACAATCTGTATTGTATTCTCACTTTGCCTTCTGACTCTTCCTCCTGTTTTCTAGAGCTCTTGTCCCTTAACAACAGAGCACTTCTGCAGCTCTGTGCTTCCTACTCCTCTCCTGTTCAGGCTGTCTTTCCACCTTCACTCTCTCATAACCCCAAAATTATTGCTGCAAACTCAGACATACTCATATCTCCTGCCTCAAGAAAAGCATGAAAGCCATCGGGAACAAAGGACAGTGTCTAGATGGAAAGCATGACACTGAGAAATAAATAGAGATACCAGTCATCACTCCATGGCTAACTTCTAGGCTTCTTTTCTGTGATGTGGAAAGTAGAGAAATTACACTAGACTAACTCATATCTAACATCCCAGTTCTGTGTGTTTAAAATCAGTTCACTCCAACTGGAATAACCAATGAAGCAAATGTATATTTTATTTTATTTTTTGGTTTTTTGGTTTGTTTGTTTTGGCAGAACCAGGGATTGAACTCAGGCCCCTGCGCTTGCCAGGCAAGTGCTTATTCCATTGAACCATCTCCCTGGCCCCGCAAATTTATATTTTAATGAAAGTAGCTCTATTGTTTAAAGTTGGGGCTTTATTCATTCATTATACCTGGCCCTCTAGGCAAGATGTCAGTTGCATATTTTGCTGCCTTTGAACACTGTTCCAAGTACTGACTTCCTGATGTCTCATTTTGTGTCCTACTACCAAAGGACATGAATAAGGGCACTGTAATAAATGACATGTAATAAATACCAAAGATGTATTAATCTAACTACATAGGTATCCACCTAGCATGATATCGTTGAGTTTCATCCATGTGTCACAATGTCCTTCATTTTCAAGATTGGATATGCCTGTGTGTGTGTGCATGTGCATGTATATACCATAGTGTGTGAGTGTTCAAATACACTATACTGTTCCATAGCAGCGGCACCACTTTACATTCACACTGAGATTTCCAATTGTGCTATTCCTCAACATTTCACCCAGTAGATTTTATTTTTTTATTGTAAACTTTATTTATTTATTTATTTATTTATTTATTTATTTATTTGGTACAGGTTCTCACTATGCAGCTGGGACTCCTAGTGATCCTCCTGTTTTCAGCCTCCTCAGCACTGGGATTATAGGCGTGTGCCCCCACACCCAGTCTAGGTGGCCTGCTCAGCATGCCCAGAGGCAGGGCTGGTTCATGAACACCAGTCCCTGTGCTTGCTAAGCAGGCACTTAGTCCACTGAGCTATCTCGCTGGTATCACCCACTAGATTTTAGCATCAGGGGTATTTCTCATTAATAGCAAGAAATTTATTCTTTTAAATAAAAACAAAATACCCCCAGTAAATTATAAAATGCATCTCAATCTCAGCAATGTTAAAATGTTAAGGAAAAATCTTAGACTTAGACCAGGGAGATAGCTCAGTGGCATAAGCTTCTACCTAGCAAGCATAAAGTCCTGAGTTATATCCCCAGTACCACTTAAAAAAAAAGAGAGAGAAGAAGAAGAAAACTTGGACTCAATGAAATAAAATAGGTAAATCAATCCCCCCAATACTTTTTTCCCCTTGTGGAACTGAGGGATTGAACTCAAGCCCTTGCGCTTGCCAGGGAAGGGCTTATTCTACTAAGCTATCTCTCTGGCCCCCCAATTTTTTTTTTTTTTTTGTAACCGAGAATTGAACTCATGCCTTTGCGCTTGCCAGAGAAGCACTTATTCCACTGAGCCATCTCCCCGGCCCCCCAATTTTTAAAAAATAAATTACACAGAAAGTTAACGTCTACAATAATACATAAAAATTATATTCTCAAATGTATTTTTACCTCATTTCAAAAAGAATGTGCTTTGGAGACAGATCCCCATACCCTCTCCCCTCCAGGTTTACCTAACCAGCTTAATGACAAGTTGGAATAAAAGTAAAAACTTCATAGTACAATAAATAATTATCCCAGATTTTCATTTCCATATACTTATGACTTCTGTTAAATATTGTAATAATGTTCATTTGTCTTTGTTTCATTTAAGGATTGTTCGAGTTTAGAAGAATATAACATTGCTGCAGCATTACTCCCTTTAACTAGTGCTTTCTATAGGGTAAGTTTCATTGGTCAATATATAAACTAGTTGTGATTTATACAAATGTATTCAGTTTGCCCTTTTTTTTCAGTTTGATTTTTTATGGAACTATGTGAATCTTGTCCTCTTAATATAACTAAAATGTATCTGAAGTTATGTGTATTATTGCAACATTTATTATGTGCTATGGGTAAGAAATTTAATGTACAATGCTAAATAATCTAATGAAGCACCCCCACTCATTCTACCCGAATTCATTTTCTTTGCAATTACATTACAAAGTGATTTATGTACATATTTCCCCTACCACAGAAAGTTGATTTCTTAAGACTGGAATACTGGCTGTACTTTTTGCTGGTATATCCCTGTGCCACACAATAAATATTTATTGAATGGGTAACATCCATACAACTAGAGTTTAATATCACTGGGGATTTCTGTGTACCTTCTGAGAGTTTTCTGGACTTCTCAAAGTGATCTTTAAAGTCGTTTCATTTATTACAGTGCCCTTATTCATGTCTTTTCATAAATATATTAACTCATGACATTTCTACCAAATTCTCCTTATTGACACTTTTCCTTAGAATTAGGTAACCACACTGTGAATAATGCATTTAATATAACCTTTTAAAATGCACAGTAGAGGGGCCGGGGAGATGGCTCAGTAGGATAAGCGTTTGACTGGCAAACGCAAGGATCTGCGTTTCAATCCCCTGTTCCGCCAAAGTAAAATAAAATGCACAGTAGGAAACGATAGACCTGTGGCCGCAGACTGACTCACTCTTCAGCTACATGGACTGTCAGTTTCAGGAGATAGCAAGTTAGCAAGTTTGAGCAAAGGCCATGCTGCTTCTCTGCATTATCAAACTCAAAAATACAAATGGATGTAGGAGTAGGTTTATGGCTTTGGGTCTTTGTTTTTGTCTTTTTTTCTGGTTTATTTTGGTATGATTTTGAGGGACGGAGAAGAGGGGAAGGGGTTATAAAAATAATTAAGATAGAGACTGGGGAGATGGCTCAGTAGAATAAGTGCTTCCCTGGCAAGCACAAGGACCTGAGTTCAGTCCCTGGTTCCACCAAAAAAAAAAAAAAAAAAAAAGACATGTTATATACATATACAAACTCCCACAATTAATGTAGTAATTATATACTGCAAACATGTACTAATAAAAATAAAGCAAGATTTAAATGATAAGCTACCTACCAGGATACTATGAGTACGAGTGATATAAGTGGCACTTAATAGGGAACCACCACCTGGAGTGCTGCCCAGACTTTGTAGATTTAAGCACCTCTAGGTGTCCCCATACCACTACCAGGTGTATGCTGCAAGAACGCAGAAGAAAAATTAGAGGGGAACCAGGAAGAAAAGCCAGTTAGTTAGTTAGTTTCTGTCTGTCTGTCTGTCTGTCTGTCTGTCTGTCTGTCTGTCTGTCTTTCTAACCAGGAATTGAACTCATGACCTCACACCTTCCTGGGATATGCTGTGTCACTGAGCTGTATCCCCAGTAAGAAGCCAGTTTCTATTGCTGTGTCCCTGCAGCAACTTTTATTGACAGTGTTTAATATTATGCCTGCTGGCAAAAGAGAAGTGTTTATAATGTCCAGGTCTAATATCACAAAGTAAGGCAGGTCTAAGCTTGCCTAAGCAAGCACGTTAGTCCACTGAGCTACCTCGCTGGCCCCTCCAAGGACTTTTTATTAACAGATACATTGAGTTATAATTTATATAATATCCATTTTAAGTGTGTATTTCCATGACTTAGTATAGTTAGTATACCACTGTGTACAGCCATCAACACAATTTAAAAATATTTGTTATCACACCAAACATCATGTCCACTTATAGTCATTCCACATTCCCAGATATCTTCTGTATCTATACATTTTCCTTTTGGGGGCATTTCATATAAATGGAATCATACAATTTATATTCATTTGTATCTGACTTTATTTATTTATTTATTTGGTACAAGGTCTCACTAAGCAGCTCAGACTCATGGTGAGCCTCCTGTCTCAGCCTCCCCAGTGCTGGGATGACAGGTGTGCGCCACCACTCCTAGTTTCAGGGCCAACACCACACGTGTGGGGCCAGTGCAGCATGCAGTACTGGGGATTGAACCTGGGTCCTTGAGCTTGCCAGGCAGGTGCTTAGACTGCTGAGCTATCTCCCCAGCCTCTGTATATGACTTCTTTCACTGAGCATAGTACTTGTCAGGTTCACCTTTGTTAGGTGATTTCTTCAGAATGGTTGATTGTTTATTTAAAATTTCTTATACCCAAAATGCTTAAGCCTTGTTTATTATTTCAGAGTGCATCAAATTCAGTATATAATGCATTA